TGATGAGGAACATCCTGGCTTACGATGCCAACGCACAACGCCTCAAGATCTTCCACAACTCCTTTGCCGACTGGCTGGTGGATGTGAAGTTCGCCACCAAGAAGTTCATCTGCGACGTGAACGAGGGCCACGTGATGATCTCGATGTATTACCTGCTCGTGGCAGACACACTCTGTGCGAACACGGTACGAAAGTTTGCCTACCACCTAATCCGCTCTGGCGAGTATCTGACCAGCCGGCACGTGGACCTGGATCTCATCCTCATGCTGTTGGAGTCCCGGCTGAATCTCAGCGACTGCTTCTATACAAACCAGATGAACTGCTGCGCCCAGTGCGAGCACGACTTCAAGTACGATGCCAACTTTCTGCCCAAGACGCGCATGATGCTCGAGCGCTTCCTGGCCAGCGAGCTGAATGAGCCGTTCGCCCAATTCCTGTGTGACTTCTTCAAGCCCAGTCTGCCCACGGACGCCAAGATGCTGAAGCTGCTGATCGAGACCGGAATCAACAATGCCGAGTCGCAGAACTCCTGTGAGTCGTCGCTGATGTCGCCGGAGCTGTCGGAGAAATCGCAGAACATTGACTTTGAGTTGGCTGATCTTCTGCTGTCCAGCGAGAAGAGCTGCCTCATGGAAACCCAACGGGCGGGTAGTCCTTCGGAGCACAGTGAGCCGCCGCCCGAAAGCCAGGATGAGAACGCCTCGAGCACTTTGCACCAGCTCTCCGACTCGCACCACATTGAACTCCACAAGGGCAAAGCCCTCATCCACATCCTGTCCAACGATGGCAATCACCAGCTGCTGGAACGGGCGCTCAACGCCTGCAAGAGTCCCATCGACCTGGAGATCGAAGATTACAATGGCCAAACGGCCTTGAATATTGCGGCTAGAAATGGTCACCTTGAGGTGGTGAAGCTGCTACTGAGTTTCTCGCAGCCCTGCAACGATGGCACTGGGCGGATGAAGCGTGTAGATGTCAACCATGCCGATCGCGATGGCTGGACTCCATTGAGATCGGCCTCCTGGGGCGGTCACAGTGAGGTAGTTCGACTCCTGATATCCCAGCCCGCCTGCAAGATCGACCTGGCTGACAAGGAAGGACGCACTGCTCTGCGGGCAGCCGCCTGGAGCGGACACGAGGACATCTTGAAGTTGCTCATTGACTCGGGTGCCGATGTAAATTCGGTGGATCGTCAGGGGCGCACCTCACTGATTGCCGCCTCCTACATGGGCCACTACGACATTGTTGAGATTCTGCTCGAGAATGGCGCCAATGTGAATCATCTGGACCTGGACGGACGCAGTGCCCTCTGCGTTGCTGCCTTGTGCGGATCTTCGGGCTATAGCAAGGTGATATCCACACTGTTAGATCACGGTGCTAACACGGATCAACTGGACAACGATGGAATGTCGCCGCTGCTGGTCAGCTCTTTCGAGGGCAACGCCGAGGTGTGTGAGCTGCTCCTGGAAAACGCTGCCGATCCGGATCTTGCCGACTTTATGGGACGCACTCCTTTGTGGGCTGCCTGTACAGCAGGTCACGCCACTGTGGTGAAGCTACTGCTCTTCTGGGGATGTGGCATTGATTGCATGGACTCCGAGGGACGAACCGTCCTCAGTATTGGCGCCGCCCAAGGAAACGTGGAGACGGTAAGACAGCTCCTGGATCGTGGCCTAGATGAAACGCATCGGGATAACGCCGGATGGACACCACTACACTACGCAGCCTTCGAGGGATTCCACGAGGTGTGCCTCCAACTCCTGGAATCAGGCGCCAAGATCGATGAATGCGACAACGAGGGAAAGACTGCCCTGCACCTGGCCGCCCAAGAGGGACGCCTCAACTGTGTGCAGGCCCTACTGGATATCCACTCTAGCTTCGTGGATCAGAAGGCGCACGATGGCAAGACTGCGTTCAGGCTGGCATGCCTGGAGGGCCACATGGACACCGTGGAGTATCTCCTGAAGTTCTGTTGCGATGTTAACTCCAAGGACGCCGACTCTCGGACAACTCTCTATATTCTTGCTCTGGAGAATAAGCTGGAGATTGTCAAGTACCTGCTGGACATGACCAACGTCGACGTCAACATTCCGGACAGCGAAGGGCGCACAGCCCTCCATGTGGCCGCCTGGCAGGGTCACGCCGATATGGTCAAGACCCTGATCGAGGCCGGGGCGGATGTCAACTCAATGGACTTGGAGGCTAGAACACCGCTGCACTCTTGCGCCTGGCAGGGTAATCATGACGTCATGAATATCCTGCTCTATTACGGCGCTCAGGCGGATCACGCGTGCAAGCAGGGAGCTACAGCTCTCGGAATCTCTGCCCAGGAGGGGCACGAGAAATGCGTCATCGCCCTGCTGCAGTTCGGAGCCAATCCGTACAAGTCAGATCACTGCGGACGGACGCCCATCAAGCTGGCGGCCAAGTCGAGCCGCACCAGCATCCTGAAGATATTCGAGAGCTACACTAAGAGTAAGAATCCCCGCAGGAGAAGTCTCTTGCTGTGATACTAATGCTTTCCCTTTTGTTCCACTCCCTTCCTTTCCTCATTTAGATGAAGCTAGCAATCCCAACGAACCCAAGTTCCATGCGCATGCCAGCATGCTAAGATCTCCGGATCAGCCGCCAGCGCTGCCTCTGCACCAGAACTTGGCCCCGTATCCGGCTCACGCATCCGCCTCCTCAGTCTGTTCGGCGGCCACCACGGCCACAGTGCATAATGGAAGCAACCTGCACGCCCTCAATGCCTCCAGTTCTACGCACAGCTCCAACAACTTCTACCAAAACACCATGCAGTCGGACACGAGCAGTTTGCACAAGCGCAAGAGCGTCATCTCTAGTCAGTCCACGGGTAGCAGCAATGATGTAAGTGGAGAATATGTGGAGATGATGAAGACTATGGCTAACTTTTCAATATTTTATCTCAACAGCAAGCGCCACTTACCTTCACCCAGCAATTGCAGCGACAAAGCAAACTGAGCTCCCGAAACAACCTGATGGTTAACTTGAAGCACGCCTCCGGCTCAGCGGCTGGGGGCCACAAGTCCAACGTCGGGGGAGGTCAGCGACACTCGCAGGTTCTTCCTGATCTCAGCGAGCATCAGCTTGGTAAGCCCAATACCATCAAGCTATCAATTACCCTATCTAATGGGAAACTATCCTCCAAAATAGCATCCAACATGACCAACGAGGCGGACATGTACGACATGGAGTGCATGTCACCTCTGTACGCTACGCCCCCGCATTCGCCCAGCAGCGAGTTGAGCTCACCTGGGCAGTTGCCTGGCCTGAACGCCTTCGTGGATGATGACAGAGCCGGAACTAGTGGCGGAGGTGCCAAGCCCCCGCTGCCGGATAATCATTTCGCGCGGGACACGCACATGCGCATTATATTGGGCAACCTTAAGGAAAACCAGCCCAGTTCCTCGAGGTGAGTGAGATCCTCTAACCTTTTGAAACCCTCGATGTAATATCCTTTCCTTCTCGGCATCCACAGCAAGAGCAAGCGAAGCGGTGTTTCCAGCAACCCGGCGATGCGGCTAATTCGCAGTCGCTTCGATGCTGCCTCCCAGCTAATCCGGCGCACCAACAACATACTCTCCTCCAGCAGCAATCAGGGCTCCTCCAGCATTGGCGTCAAGTCTGGCACCTTCCAGTGGCGCAAGGAGAGCCAAATGTAAACCCAGTAGCGAAATAATCTGGACTGCACATTGATGTATTCGCAAAAACTCACTCAACTTGCATACTCAATCCTTAAAACACGATTTATTTAAGTTATACACCTTTGTACTTTTGAGAAAGTATTTGTTTTTTTGTGATAGTTTCAATTTTAGTAAACTTTTAATATTATTCTGATTTAACTAAATACACTTAGAGGTACTACCCACACCACGTAGTTTAAGGCACGCCCCAAGTATTAGGATAAACCCCCTCATATATAGGAAACCTTACACTTTTGGCATGCGAATCGTAGATGACTTCTTCAAACGTAGCGAGAAAAGTAACGAAATTTAAATAGAACTTGAAACGAATGTATACTTAAGAGAGCTCAGATCCCGATACTGTTCTCAGAATTAGTTTTAATCTATTTATTTAGCCAGTTAACCGGAGCAATTCAACTACGAAATAATTTAATCGAAAACAGCATCCTGTCGGATGAAAGCCATAAAATCCAATGAACATTTTTTGGCGGACGGCTATAGCAACGTAATTTTTTATACGAGCTACTTTAACAATTAATTAAGCTGTTTATGTCAATTCTTTTGATGCAGTTCCCAAAAAAGTACCAAAAACCACTTTCCTTCCTATGCGCATGCTTTCGATACCACGCCGAGATCCAAGAGATATAGTATATGTGTATTATATTGCTCGCATCTTAACTCAAAGCGGTCCGTTCCTGTACCTTAAATCTTGTCACTAATTTTATGTAACCCCTAAGCCGGACAAACCAATCAAATCCACAGCTGAATCAACTAATCAAATATTTTCTGAATACTCTACTCCCCACTGCAAAGCAGAAAAGCTCAGAAGACGGCAAACAACGCACCGGACTTAATCCAAAATAATAAGCAAAAAATAAACGAAGCATAAAGTTAAACAGCGAAATGTTAATGAACAAAACCTAATTAATTGTTAACAAAACCTAAAGAATACCGCAAGAGTTACAATTGTTTAGATATACATAAAAATATATATATATTTCAAAAGCGTATTTACAAGTTAACGATCAGAGTTATTCAAAGTACCATTTTTATATTCATAATCGAGATAAACGAACAGACTTAATTAAAATCCACAAGACACACACATTACACGAAATGCATTAGACGAGGGGCGAAACCAAAGATAAACATTTACATTTGGAAGTAATATACACATGATACCTATACCTTATAATATAAATATATATATATATGAGAATATGTACTTATACATTGTAGTGTTGTAGTTTTGAAAAAGGTTGCGATGAATTACTGACAAAAATTGATACAGGAACATTTACAGAAAATTCTGAGTGTGTTGAAGTTAAACATCTTTTTGAGCGAAGCGACGAATACCGAAGCATATACATACATATATATAACTCTGAATCTGAATAAACTGTATATTCATACAAATAATTAAATGTGTCGTGTATAAATTATGCTGAGGAATGTAATCAGTTCACTTGTTGGTGTCCACAAGTATCTTTGGGTTGGCCACATGGAAAACGCTGGGCACCATTCCAGCCAGTGTGGTGAACAAGCTCTCGGAGATGTCGTCTGGCAGTAGTAATTGAAGGGTGCTGCAAGTAGTTATTATCCTATTAACAAGATAATTCTATGGGTAATCGTGTTGGCCTACCTTAGTTCTGCTCCACCCCATGAGGCTGATTCTATCATAAATCCCTTGGCGCATTTGAAAACCAGTTCCGCTCGCCTTATACACCATTGCACGGTCATATCCTCGCTCATTTCGTGCCGCAATAACGCCGGAATGGTTAGTGTCGTTATGTCGTGCCTACTGGCAGTCTTGAGAATATTACGTAAGCCTAGGATAACCGGATGGCGCGAGTTGATCTCACTGGGACTGTTGATTGGCTCGTCCGAGATCAGGTGGAATATGACGTGGGACTGCGACAGATTCGAGTGTTTTGTTATAAAAAAGTCACCCGTTTTCAATCGGGGCTTTGATTTTTTGGTCGGCGAAGGCGTGACACTGCCCTCAGAATTTCCCTCGGCGCTGCTGCTGCTGCTGGTACTACCACTGCAAGCATTCGAGTCGCCAGTGCTGAGATTAAGAATCTGTTTCTCGATGTTCTCCAATTGAGCGTCGATCTGGTCGAAGTGAAACTCGGTGGACTTGTTTGCGTTTTTAATGATGTTTTTGTTGGCCTGGGCTTGGATAGAGGGCGTTAGGACCACAACGCCGCACAACGAACTAGAGTATAGCCCCAGGGCCATATTCAACCCGTTTAAGCTCTCTTCCGCATGTAAAGGGCTACAAAGCGCCGTGACATTGGCACTGAGGATGCGGATGTTGTGCATGTGCTTCAGCTGAGAGCCCAAGTGAATGGTAAAGCTCTCCTCCATCGAGGGCTGTTGCGAGACAAACATCGAGGAGCGATTCCCCAGTGGAGTAGCCACCGGCGACACCTGGAACATCTGGCTCACCTGGCTGGTGATCCAGTTGCGGTACTCGTTCTTCTGATGACCCATCATGGCCTCCAACTCGGACTCATAGCGTTTGCGCACATAGTTTTGGGTGGTGTACTGCTGGGCCAGCAAGTTGTTGATATCCTCGGAGGTGGTGGTGATGTCCAGCTGGTTGATTTGGCTGTCCATTTCTTGCTGCTGCGAGTGATTCAGCGTCTCCACCTCGTTGTCCATCATATCCGTCATATCAGATACTACTTTGGCATAGGCCCGTTCGCGCTTCAGAATCTCCTCCAGAGAGGAGGAGTGCACCAGCCGATGAAAACTTTGGGCGAAAATGTCCTCGTCGCTGGGGCCAATGCGGTCGGCAAACTGCAACAGTTCGTCCTTGTACTTGCGCTCGGTATCCCGCACAATGGCTTCCACGTCCAGTTCCTCCTTGGCCACCTGATTTAAAAGATTCTCGGCGCGGTCGTCCAGAAAGTTTTGTTGTTCGGTGTCTACGAAGCCCTGCAACTCTTTCTCCAAGTCTGTAAAATACCACTGTATACCACTGTAATCAGAAGAAGCTTTAGAAAACACCTACTGATATTCTCGTCCAATATCCGCATCATTGGATCCATTTGGCTCATGAGCTGGGTCACACAAGACTCCAAATCCTCCTGTTCAAACGGAAATGTCACATCCAGTCGAGATTCGCAGTCCTGGCCTTCATGATTCTTGTATTTATACACAAATGGAAGAGTGCGCGTGGCCAAAGAATCCATTTTGCGTCTTTTAGCTTCTGTTTAAGTTAGTTTCAGTCATTAATTTGTTAGTTTACGCCCCCCAAAAAATGCAAGCAAGAAAGCGGCTGAACAGCTGATGGTTTAACCCTTGGGCGGGCATTGGGCTGTTACATGCAGTGCTGCCAACTTAGCTTTTTTTAGTTAGATTTAGCTATTTTTCATGACCTAAAACTGGAACCACTATATTGCAGGAGCCCGCTATGCATTTTCTTGTTGAGAAATAACATTTTTTTCAAATAGAATTGCAACGAGCTTAAAAATGCTCTTTTCAGTACGTCTCAAATAAATGTCCTCACAGATTGGAAAGTATTTGAGCTCCGAGGAGGTAGAAATTGGGAAAACTTAAGAAATTTACTTAACGAAGTAGTATTTTAAAATAATCAACACAAAATCCAAAAATATAATATTAGTTATCCAATTATTTTAATTTACTGGTTTTTAATTAAATCTAGCAATTTTTTTGGCCTTCACTGCGATGACCACCAAGAGTTGGCAACACTGCAAATATAAAATTATCGAGTGTGTGCACACTGGGCATCTGTTAAACTTAAAAACTAGAAAATCCCAATAAAACAAATTTAAATTTTATGTATTTGTTTTTAATTTATTTAAAAAAAATGAAATAATAAATAAAATAAAATGTTACATTATTTTATATAAGCCGCTTCAGTGTGGAACTGGATGATGATTCCTCTGCCGGATATTAGAATTTCCTGAAAGTTCAAAGGTTACCTGGAAAACTTACCCTTGCTCCACCTGGAGGAATCTCTCCCTGGGCGCGTACTTAAAGCAAGTGAGCCGGCCTGGGTCCGGGGCTGGTTTCAGCAACGCCGCGACCTTCTTTCAGCGCCTCGCATACTTTTCTCAGCCGACTTGCAACAGAAATTACAATAATATACATTGAATTGTAAATGACATGGGGGTGGGTGGTGTAGTCAGTTCAAAAATCGAGGGAAAATAAACCTGTTAGACGGATAACGAAACTCTCGAATGAAACTGGTGGATGGCCCGCCCACAATAAACACTGCCATACAAATAGGTAAATACTGTTGCTGACTCTACTTGCTTGTTCCTTGCACTCCTCTTCCTTTCGCTGCTGCTGTGGTGGACACTACAATAATACAGTACACTAAGTCTAAGCTAAAGATACAATATCTGTACAATTGAATATTTTTTAATCTTGTATTTTTTCGCTACATTAAAATGTAAGTTTGTATGTATAATTGCGCTGACCTCAGACTGCGTATAGACTGCTTTCTAGAAGGTATAGATTACATTAAGTGCTGTTTTGGTTTGGATCGATTTACATCTAAACATTGGAGGCAAAGTTCTTCCGTATCGTCATATGCCAAGAAGTCTGTGTGTCCACACGATCAGGTTCGCTAAGAACTTGAAGAGTAAAAGTATTAAACTAAACTAGAACGGCGAGCGACTGCTGAAAAGATCGCCCCGCACGCTCTACTAAAACTATTAAAACTTAGTCTAGTGAAAGTCATAAAAGGTAATACATGATTTAAGGTTGTGTGTTCTGCACTGATTATCAGAAGAGGCCAGCGACAGTCAGTCTACCGATCAACAACCAAATAAACAATCCTTTGACTGTCGCCTTGAAGTTTTACGCATATATGTAGCTAGACAATTATCGCTGTATCGCTGGGTAATAGGTAAATAGGTCAGTTGGTGGAAATACAAAAGTTTAGCTGTAGGGCTTGTTTTCTAAATTACAATATTACTTATGTCAGAGGCTACAATGTGAAATTGGGTCATAATTCTATGGGAGATTGGACAGTTGAGATAGATGCGCCTTATGCAAATGGTCAGCAAGTAGTGCAAACAAATCGAATGTAATCCTGGCCAGCTGATGTGTTCGTGTACTGCTGCTCGCTGTGTGCGACTCTTCAAAAAGATCTCTGTTTAGTCTGCTTAGCTCACACACTTCTCTGCTCTTCACTCTGCACTCTGCTCTGATATCTCAATCTGTTCTGTCTCAATCAAGCTCCTTAAGACTGAACTGCACTGCACTGCTCTGCACTGATCCTGATCTTCTCCTGTCATGTTTGCATGTTTCGTTTGCTTTGTGGTGGTCGGAACGGAAAACTTCTGAGGGCTATGAACGTTCGTTCATGCCCGATAGTGATCATTGAATTGCGTATCGTTTACTTGACTGTGACTTTGTTTGGGATTATACTGAGCGACTTCTAATTTATTACCTATAAAATGTCGATAAATGAGAAACGTTATTTAAAAAAATTGTTTAGCTTAATTGTTCTTAATTGTTGTTGTCTTTGTTTTTCTCTAAAATAATACGTATGCTTAAGTAAGTTTTGTGGAGTTAGGTGGTGGCTGTTGGGACTGTCTTAGGCAGTCTGTTATTCAGTCTCATATGCTATTACAACTACCAACAAAAGAACTAAACTAAAAATGGCCAAAATAGCGCCTGGATTAAAACAAAACAAGAATCTTATTAATTGAAACGACCAAATACTGGTCATTCTGATTAGTGGTTGCTAAGTTACAAGACTAACGTCATCTGCGTCCATGACTAGTTAATTAAAGCGTATTTTTTGTTGTGGCTTTCTCACCTTGACTCTTCTTCCCCTTAATATCTTCGGCTGTTTCCACTGTTATTGAATCCCTGATTGCTTCCGCCATAGTTTCCTTGATTGCCACCGCCTAAAAAACAAACCCAGGATGGTTTACAATTCGTATTGAACTGGTCTTTGCGCTAAAGCTAGTGTCTCGAAGCTTTTTTTTTTTTTTGGAAAATGATCTGCCAAACTCTAGTGGTGTTCTTATAATTCAGTGCTGGTCGATGGCATTACTAAAAAAGTTTACTCGGACTTTGACTCACCTGCTTTATTGAAATTTCCTTGGTAGGGCTGCGCGCGATTATTGCCATAGTTGCCACCCCTCTGGGGACCACCGCCATAGTTCTGTTGGTAGCCCCCGAAATCATTGCCACCTCCGTTGCCCCAGCTGGAGCCGCCGCCATAGTTTCCACCGCCGTTGCCATTATCCCAGGGACCCACGTTGTTGCCCCAGCCATTATTGCCGCCCCCGTAGCTGCCGCCACCATAGTTGTTGTTGCCCCAGCTATCATTGCCACCGCGGTTGTTGCCCCAGCTGCCACCTCCGTTCTGAAATGTCAATTAGCAGAAATAATTAGCCACTCTTATGCACCAATGGCACGCAACTAACCCAGTTGCCCCCTCCGTTTTGGTTGCCATAGCCTCCGCCTCCACCGCCGCCCATATTGCCGCCGCGGTTTCCACCTCGGCCGCCTTGACCACGTCCGCCACCTCCACCGCCGCCCTGCATATCGTTCTGCTTGGGCAGGGCCTTCTTCACGTCCACCATCTTGCCCTTCAGCTGATGCTGCTTTTGCACTGCAATAACCAAACAAAAAGGGAAATTAGTAAGCCATTAAATGTAAGATATAATAAAATTATAATTAAGATATAATGTGCCATATACTTTTTCATCATTGGTGCAGCAAAGCACCAACAACAGTGATATAATACTGGCTGGTTTTTCATCTTACAGTCACAAACGCCGCAAGAGCACATCAAGCATTGCTATGCGGAGCTGGGACTGTGGAATTAGTTCCAAAAATATGTAAATAATAGATTGTATTGTAACGAGGCTGCGTGTTACACTGAATTGGTACATTTACATTCGCATAACATAGCTTAAGCCGACGCTAAAATTCATCTCACAGCGTTCCGAAGAAAAACTGCCCAGGTGTTGTAGTTCAAACCTGCCAATTTGTCAGCGCTGTGAAGCCTTTACAGGCTACTCAAATATATTTAAATATAGCCCATACATTTTTATCAACTATACATTTTTTATGACTAGCTAACAATGATATAATATGAGCCAAGTTGTTCTTACAGTCGCAAACGCCGCATGAGCACATCGAGCATTGCTATGCGGAGCTGGGACTGTGGAGGATGGGCCAAATATCTTTAATATATATTTTGTAACGAGGCTGCGTGTTACACTGAATCGGAATATAGTTACATTCGCATAACATAGCTTAGCCGACGCTTTAATTCATCTCACAGCGTTCCGAGGAAAAACTGACCAGGTGATGGACATCAACCTCTCAATTTGTCAGCGCTGTGAAGCCCAGTAATGTCTTCTCAAGGATTATAATGTGGCACATACGTTTTCATCAACTAAACATTGGGAGTGACTAGCTAACAGTGATATAATATGAGCCAAGTTAATCTTACAGTCGCAAACGCCGCATGAGCACATCAAGCATTGCTATGCGGAGCTGGGACTGTGGAGGATGGACCAAATAATTCGAATAAGTGATTTGTAACGAGGCTGCGTGTTACACTGAAAAGGTATATAGTTACATTCGCATAACATAGCTTAGCCGACGCTTTAATTCATCTCACAGCGTTCCGAGGAAAAACTGACCAGGTGATGGACATCAACCTCTCAATTTGTCAGCGCTGTGAAGCCCCACAATTTCTCCAACGATGTACATATGTATGTAGTTGTGGCCCATACATTTTCATCAACTATACATTAAGTATGACTAGCCAACAAAGATATAATATGAGCAAAATTAGTCTAACAGTCGCAAACGGCGCACGAGCACATCGAGCATTGCTATGCGGAGCTGGGACTGTCCTACAAAACCATAAGCTATGAAAATCATGATAGATAGCCACTTACAGACAACTTTGTCGACTGGATCATAGTCGTCAAACTCCACAAAGGCGAATCCTCGCTTTTTGCCAGTCTCCTTGTCCATCACAATGTTGATATCGATGATGTTGCCAAAGTTCTGGAAGTAGTCGCGGATGCTCTGCTCATCATGGTCGTCCTTCAGTGCACCAACGAACAGCTTTTTCACAGTGGCGCCGGCGTTGGGGGAATCGATGTCTTGGCGAGGTACTGCACGTTTGGGCTCCACCACGCGGCCGTCAATCTTGTGAGGCCGGGACTTCTGCGCCTCGTCGATCATACTCGAGTGCGAGTAGGTAATGAAGCCAAAGCCGCGGGACCGTTTGGTCCGTGGGTCCTTCATCACCACCACATCCACGATGTTGCCCCATTGCTCAAAATGCGCCTTCAGGTTCTCGTCTGTGGTGCGGTAATCCAGCCCGCCGATGAACAATTTGCGCATATGCTCCGGCTCAGTGATTTCCTACACATAGAACAAAAACGCAAATTATTGATTTCTTCCCTCAGGAGCCCCTAACCTCATTTCTTTTTTTCAAAATGGCGACCGGTGAGACACCCGCGTGCAAAGAATTTTCATTTGGGAATTGTGTACTTACATCATCGTGGCCGTTGGAGTTTCCATTTTGGTTATCGTTTTGGCCTCCCATATTTGATATTTTTTTCAGTTATTCGATTTTAAATAATATAATTCTATCTCAAAAAATTGTGAAGTCTGGTGCCGAGCAGAGCACAAGTAGAAAAAGTATCTTATGATGTGACAGTAAAACCGGAAACATCAGCAAAGATTTTGTTCAGTGAGGGATTGTGCTTTTCGTAATAAACAGCCACACTGGTTTGCACAGTGGAACAAATATATTTTTTAAATGTATTAAATTACCCAACTATTTTGACTTTCTCTTAAAAAAATATAAAATTTTTTATTTTTTTAAAGAAAACCTTTAAAAAATAAAAATGTGAAAGTGCAGCACAGTTACGAAACATATTATGAGGTATTTTTCTTTCTGGGATGAACAGCCACACTGCTTCAAAGAGTGGGATAAAATTCAAATGTATGTTTATTTTTTAATTTAAGAATTCATTATGTTAGGAAAACATTTCGGAAATTTACTTATGTTTGATAATCATAAAAATATCCAATAAGTTAAGCCTCAAAAACTATTATTGGCACAACATGTTTAATTCAGACTGGTATTTTCTAGCGCCCTTTGTGTGGTCACACTTGTCGCACACGTAAGGAAAGTAAAATTTATTCGATTTTAGAAAATGCCGAAAAAAAAGACTGGCCAGCGTAAAAAGGCTGAAAAGCAGAAGCTGCGCCTCAAGGAGATACGCAGCCGTGAAACGCCGCTGGCGGATCTCCCCTGCAATGCACCAATGGACTGCGACAAGTGCGAAAAGAAGCAAAAGTCTCGAGCTTTCTGCTACTTCTGCCAGAGTGTGCAAAGACTCCCGATATGCGCCCAATGCGGCAAGATCAAGTGCATGTTGAAGACTGGGGACTGTGTGGTGAAGCATCCTGGGGTGTACACCACCGGTCTTGGAATGGTGGGTGCCATTTGCGACTTCTGTGAGGCGTGGGTCTGCCACGGTCGCAAGTGCCTCCAAACACATGCTTGCACCTGCCCCTTGCAGAACGCCGTTTGCCTGGAATGCGAGCGAGGCGTCTGGGAGCACGGTGGCCGTATCTTCAAGTGCTCCTTTTGCAATGGCTTCCTGTGCGAAGACGACCAGTTTGAGCATCAGGCTAGTTGCCAGGTGGGTTTCCCTAACTCTTATCTTCAAACTCGTCCTAATCCAAATTTGGTTTTTAGGTTCTGGAGTCGGAGAACTACAAGTGCCAATCGTGCAACCGACTGGGTCAGTACTCCTGTCTGCGCTGCAAGACTTGCTATTGCGAGGATCATGTGCGCCGCAAGGGCTTCAAGTACGACAAGAATAAGGCCATTCCATGTCCAAAATGCAATTACGATACCTCGGTCACGAAGGACCTCAGTATGTCGACGCGTTCGCACAAATTTGGTCGCCAGCAACAGGGCGGCGGCAGCGACGACGAGGACGGATATGGTGGTTACTATGGAGGAGCCAGTGGCAGCTCTGGCTATTATGGAGGTGCCACTTATGGCGACGATGATGAGGAAGAGTCTGATGGAGACTACGACGACGATGAAAGTGATGAAGATGATGATGATGATGAGGAGGAAGGCGAGACCACCGAAAGCGAACCAGAGAAAGAATCTGAAAAAGCCGGTACATCTGGCACCAAATAGGAATGTGATCACTGCTATGCTGCGTCCCTTTATTTCCAGCTATAAACTGTGCAATTGGTTTTAAATTTTATTGAAATAAATTCTCTGTTATTTTGAAGAATGTCAAGAACACAGAAAACAACATCCTGAAATTTGGCTTTTGACCACCAATGACCAACGTAGTTCCAATGAGCAAAGGGGCAGTGATAAGCAAAAGGATACAACAATCAGGAATCTGGGGAATGGGGGTAAGGGACCAAAATGGTGATGGCTATGCCAGCGGCGCTGCCTGCGACGACGCCGACTTCTCTGTTGATAGACTCATCCATCTCCAATCCACTTACGAGCGCAAATATTTACACAATTTACTCGAAAACGGAGGTATGAGCATATAATATTTCCAAAAACGATGGCAAACACACACGCAGCCACGCACATCGGCATTTGGGGAATGTTTGGCAGTTAGGCAGAGCGGAACAGCAACAACGATGATGGGCTGGCTGGGTGGTGGGTTCCTGCCGTCGTGGATGCGGCCAGGAGTGGGGAACCCATCATCAGGCTGAAACATTTTAGTCATTGCAAATCAATGATGGGCTTGATGGGTAAGAGAAGCGTAGTTCTTCTGCATATGAATGAAATCATATGGGCTCTTACTTATGTATGGAGGAAAGTTCCCATAAATCGGATAGGGTGAGAGGCAGGAAAATCAACTGTGTACATAGAACAGATTAGTGTGAGAAGATATAGGATGCACATACAGCCTTGGTTAAAACAATGGATAATTGAAATGGTAAAATTTATAAATTAAATAGACTAAGATCGGGGATATAACGTAAGAGTTCTTGATTTTTAAATTTGTTACTTTATAATATAGAGTCTATATTATCAACACGTTTGATGGATTTATTTTTTTGAATCATGTTTTTGTTAGTTATTAAACCCATAATCAATATAATTATTTATTAAATCTCTATAGAAATAAATTAACGTCCTTCAAAAACCTTCATCATTTCTCACTATATCATGAATTTGGCCCTTCTTGATTTATGTTTGATTTATAATTTTTATTTAACTTACCAAAAATACGAAAAAATCTAATAGTAAAGTAGTTAATTCTAGAAATTTAAAATTTCCTTTATTTTTAAATCTCAGGACTATTATTCTGGCCGCCCCTGTCTCTCCACACACGCATGTCGTGGGCAGCTTAAATATAATGGCTGCCTGCCAGCATTTTGTGTCTGCATTTCAATCAAAATGGCCAGCCTAGGCCGGCCCAAGCAGTGTCCAAGCCATCAGAGCCAGGGCTACTCAACGAAATTGGAAATGCCATTGGCTTGGGGTGGATTTCATAGGGGGGGCTGAATAGGATTGGAGGAAATTGGGTAGTGGTCACTGCCAAACATCAATAATAATTTCATAAATGTAATCAGAGGGAGGCAAACACGACCCAAGTCGAATCACTGTGATTGAGCTCTTAATTGCACTGCGATATTAATCCTTATGTCGACCCCTACCGCCCCCAGGCCTTCCTATTTTGGCGACTTCCCATCTCGATGACCATTTTCATTATCCGGAGTGCAGTCTCAATTATCGGATGGAAGAGTCATGAGTTATCTAACCGCCGATTGACCATCCCAGGACTAAGCCCCTACAGAGATACTGGCTTTGGAAGTCCGCTTCCCAGGAAAACTCTTCGGAACATTACTTCCGATCGGCATTATCTTTTGCTTATTTATGCAACACAAATATTTTTACCGGCCGAAGTCAAGCCATAACAAAAACACAGACCCGACTAAGGATTAGGTGGGAAAATCTTAGGGACAATCCGAAAAACACGTGGAAAAGTCAAAAAGTCCGGCTTATGGCAAAACGCAATTAGCGTTAATTACGACGGAAAACAGCAGTGGTAGAATCATAACTTCCCATGGCTAAAGGATGAAGGATTCTGGGTCCCAGGACGAGCGGCAGGAGCTGCAGGTTCTTGCGGCCACTTGAAATTTAATTTAATTTTTCCTTGCGGCTGCCGCAACGTCGCTGGCTTCAAGTGATTGCGCCATGGGATTGGCTGGTGGGTGGTTGGACCGGGTGGGGGTCATGTGGCATAGTTTCTAACGTCATCATCAACATCATCCACTTCGCCGTATCGACGTTCATCAAAGCTAGCGATGATTGATGGTGCGTAATTTGGAAAATTAGAACCAGGATACGCAGAAAAGGGGTGGCTCCGCCCGATTCGCTCTCGTTTCCTTTTTCATCGTTTTTTTTTCTATTTTTTTTCGGCCCTTGCTAATGTTGTTGGCACAACAAGGTGTGTCCTGGCCTGGCCTGGTAGCGGACCGGACCGATTGCCGCGTGTCCTGCCGCCGCTTGCCGCTTGCGGGCGCGTGTAGCGAGTCCGACAAAGTTGCGCGTGGTTATTAGAAAACAATTTAATTAAATATTCACTTGAAGCACAACACCAACAATAAAAGCCAGAGCAAGAGCGTAGGCAGTGCCAGAGCGGTGGCCTCACTTTCCCATCATAAAGAGCTCAAACAATGTCCATCAATATTAAACGATGTCGGCCGGTGTCCATTTAGAACGCTCCAGTGGCTGTTGTTGTTTTAGTTGTCCTCGCTGGCCCGTGATGTAATGTGAGAAAGTTTTTTTTGGCTGGTGCTCGAAAGAGAATGAGATGGATGGGGTGGTCCTGGCTAGGATACGCCTTTGATATATTGGGCTCTTAGGGCGAGTCCCTGAAAATAGGTCCCCAAAATAATAACGGCTAATTGGGGCAAGGTGTCCCCTAGGACTACCATTTTTTTGGGGGATACCATAATAGAAATGGTATGGATGTCCTTATGTTAGTCTTCAAGTAAAGGACTTTTAATGGATTTATTCAAAGAAGTGAAGACTATTGAAGAATCGGAAATCTATCTCTTCAATAGAGGTTAGAAAGTCATCTGCAAAGGACCTGAAAAGTGCTCAATCCAGGTGTGCTGCACTGCACCCGCACAATGGATCGGAACTGAAGCTACCGGACACCGAAAGCGATACCAGGACACCCGCACATACGACCGAGAAGTCACGGCAGGACAATGGGAAAGTCGTTGGCAGTCTAATTGCATCAGCGACGCTTCCCTGGCCACGTGACCCCTGCGCCTCACCTGCAATTAAACTGTCACATTAGGAGAATACAAGCACGCAGCTCTTCACCAGCGATGTAAAGCGATGACGCAGCCCAAAAAGCGATTCCCAAGTATTGGGTGGCTGGGGGTGGTAACAATTGAGGGCCACGTGCCGGAGTCGGGGGCTGCAGATGGGCACGGTACTGGGAGTACTGATGTGAATGGGTGAGGCTACAATGGTTAGACCTGCTCGACGACCTTCCACCAGCCAAAAGTTTTGCCAAGGGATTAGCCGCAGCTCAGAGCGGGCTTGGAGGAGATGGGTTCGGTGGTTTCTCCTTTTGTGTTTGCCAACAGTTACATTTTGCACCCGGCAAGCCGCCTAATGAAAGCAAATCTCCGCATTAATTTCAGACGAATTTGTTTTGATGCCGTGATAAGCCACCAACCGACAGCGTCATCTCAACTGAGATAAAATCTGAGAAGCGCTTGCCATTTGGGCCTGATCCCAATGAGCCAGCCGCCCAGTCGCCCAACTGGTTCGTTTTGATTTTTGTCAATAGCCCGGCGGGCTGGCACTTGAACTGCGAGACGCTCAACTTTGCCATCGAATGAAACTGAATTTTGCAATACGCTCAAGGCTCCTGGCTCGAAGCCCACTTCCATACCGATACCACCACTCACGCACACACGCGCGAGCTTTGCATTTCAATTGCCGGCCGGCACACCCCTCGACCTACGCCCACGGCATGCTACAGTTATTAACCTCAACTAACACTGTCCAACAGGGGAATTGTATTTTATTAAATGTCTGAGGGATATTGAGTATTCAGGGAATTTATTGGGGTAGATTCAATTCTTTCATATTTAGGATTTACAGGATTTGAAACGGGATGGGCCTTAAAACTTTATTTTGATGACATTTCACTAGGAGTTGTTTAGTGAATCTTGAATCAGGCCCGTTTTCAATAAATTCGGTTTACTATGAATCCTCTAGCCAAGAATCACTTCCAATAAACGTCTGACTCTTAAATATAATATCTTAAAAAAGTTTTAGTTTAATATCCATAAAAACTATTATTTTTTTGGGTGAGAAGCTGTGTTTTTGTGAAGCTGTGGAGATTGCATACTAAGGACTATAAAGGACTATATTACCCTCACTTTTTTCAATTCAAAAGTCTGCGAAACCTGTAAGATAGTGTAATATGTATGTCCTCCGGCTAACTATGTAATTAAAGTAGTTGCGGTTCATTGTGATGATGTCGATAATGATGCCGCTGATTATGATGACCCGCACTTGTCGTGAAGCACCAAGCTGTGGCCTGGGAGTCTATTTGTACATCGCTGTAGTCGTCCTGTGCATCGAGTCCTGGCACTTGTCGTGGCCAGCGGCCGCGTGCTCTGCACGTGAGCTTCCTTGATAATGATCTCACATGCAATCGCCATCGGACAGACTGTGAGAGAGTCTCCTCTTAGGCTAAACACTCATCATCCGCACTAAATTATTTATTGTCAACAATCGAATCGAATGGAACATTTATATGTGCCAGGTATTGGCATTGTCTTCGCATCTGTGCGAGTAAGCGACTCAATGTCAAGATTAATCGCCAGCTGTGGGACGAGGTTAGCGGACAGGTAACATCAGCCCGGCCCCAGCTCCAGCTATAGCTACAGCTAACCGGCGAATTCAACCAGACAAGGAGTCAGACTTCTATATAACAATGAAATATTGTGCTGCTGTTAAGGAAAAAAAATTTCAAGTTCGGCAGCTTGTCAAGTGGCACTTGTCGTCAGTTGAACGTCACGGCATTCGGGCACTTTGTCAATTCAAGTGAAATTTTTATTAATTTCGTTTTTAAAATGCACCATCACAGGCACACACACACAAGATGTGACACATGCATGTATATATTAAATGTTCTTGATCCACGTACTCATCAATGGCGATGAGACCCAGTCGCACATTAGTTGTTTTGTTAAATGCTAACAAATTGCCGGCAATTCGTCAGCTCCACAAACTC